TATATATCTATATATCTATATATCATTATATCTATCTATATATCATGTTATATACCTTAAATGTATAAAATAGAAAATAGGGAGGACCAGGGCATAATTCAATATTAGAATGAATGTTTAGCATGCCCAATGCCCTGGGCTTCATCCTCAGGATTAAAAACTGAAACTAATTTTTATAAAGAAATAATTATTGGGGCTGGGGAGATAGCTCAGTGGTCTATAAGCCTGCCTGGCAAGCACAAGGACCCAGGTTCAATCCTTGGTACCATATGCTCTGTTGATCCTGTGCCACGCCAGTCACTAAAACCGGGCTTGGTGGTGCACACCTGTAATCCCAGAACTGAGGAGGTTGAGACAGAAGCATCAGTATGAGTCTCAGCTGCCTTGCAAGACCCTGTACCAAATAAATAAAATAAATTTCTTTGTATGTGTGGTACCGGGAATTGAACTCAGGACCCTGCACTTGCCAGGCAAACACTTAGTCTACTGAGCTATCTCCCCGGCCCCAATAAATAAATCTTTAAAAAAAATAATTATTAAAAGACCCATGTATCTCTCTAGGTCTACCAAAGATAATTGACTCTCTGTATGCCCTTAGGTAAAATTGAAATCACAGATATTTAATTCAAGTAAATATTTTAAACAACCTTCCCAAAATATGAACATAATTCTTCAAAGAACAGAAAAGCTAATGTAGAAAAAAACTGTAATTGTAAATGTACGTATTTGTTGAAACAAGAAACCAAGACTGAAATGTGGCTAAAACACCAGACTGCAATAAATGATCTACCTACTCTGTCACTGGCTGATTTGACTTCATATTGGGTAGAAGGAGTCAATGTCATTTTTACTTCCATCTTAACTTTGTTTATAGATTCCTTCCTTATCCTTTACAGATGACTTTAGCCGTGTGAGACTAGTCTCCATGAATGAAGAAGAGGGTGCAGACTATATCAATGCCAACTATATTCCTGTAAGTAGTGAAATAATCAGGCATTCAAATGCTGAAGACTATCAGCCAGCCGGTAGAAGATTAGTACAGCTATCCAAGAGTGCCAAACAGTCCAAAGGAGAGCTCTTCATACCAAACTCTGAGAACAGTCTCCATTATTCTGTTTCAGAATAAACAAGGTGCAGAACTCCATAAATCAGTAGGGTTCAGATTTCTTTCCAATGGCATAGTGCAATAAATAATCATGCTAGAAAGTAAATAATCATGCTAGAAAGTATCATTCAGGTGTTGACACTTAAGTATCCACAATGAAACTCCAGGGCTCCATTCAAATACCTATGCTTTTGAAATATCTGTGAAGACAGTGGCTATTGTCACAAAGAGATGTGGATATGATTTTACAGGTTAACAAAAAACAATGCTTCAAATCACACAAAGCTATATAGTCAATTGCTATAATTGCCTTTTTGATCCAACAAAGAAAAAGCATCATATAGGTGTGTGAGCCTTTGCCAGTTTATTATCAATCAGTTGTCAGTTTTCTGCACTTGTGTGGAATAACATTTGGTGCTGATGGCAACTGGTTCAATCACTTTATCATTTATCTTTCAGGGATACAACTCCCCCCAAGAGTATATTGCCACCCAGGGGCCACTGCCTGAAACCAGAAACGACTTCTGGAAGATGGTCCTGCAGCAGAAGTCTCAGATCATTGTCATGCTCACTCAGTGCAATGAGAAGAGGAGGGTGTGTACCTCAGCAGACCGTCCCCACCTCCCAGAGCACCGGCCCCAGCCTCTGCCGCTCACCAAATGGTTACTGGGCAGCAGGAACCACCACACTGTTCCATGTTCATTCTCACAATAATTCCATATGGTTCTTTGGAAACAATCGCCCTTGCTTTCCCCAAATGAATTTAATTGCCTGCTTGTTTTAAAGGCTTATATTATTGTCACTCCAGGTAAAATGCGATCATTACTGGCCATTCACAGAAGAGCCCATAGCTTATGGAGACATCACGGTGGAGATGATCTCAGAGGAAGAGCAGGATGACTGGGCCTGTAGACACTTCCGGATCAATTACGTAAGCCTCTAAATGGAACTGCAGGTGTACCACCACGGCCACCCAACTCCAAGGGCCCAGAGACCAGCCCACCACCATATATGACAACAATCACTTCAGGCTTTGTGGCTCTGCTTCCTTTGAGAGAAAAATTCCACTTGTAGTGGGTTGTTTCATATTTTAGAGAGAATGGCATAGATGGAATGTTGGCCTGAAGGCCAAGGCAATGGAATAAAGTCTGAACAAGTCCATCTCACATTCGCCTAGGCCAATCAAGGACTCTGCTAATCATTGCTTACCTAGCATGACTGAGTAAAAAATTATTATCATTATTCATATTAACCCAAATATATATCAGCCTGATAAGTGAACACAAGGCACACTTAAAATTATAAACTCTTAGACCATGACTTACTAACCTGGGTTTTGCTTCCTTTCTTTCCTCATTTTGTTTTGTTTTGGTTTTAATTACTTGGAAAGTCATTCTAGACCCTAATATTATTCATGGTTCAATATTTTTTCTCAAAGTGCTGTTGATTTCTAATTATTAGAATGTCAGAAAAGTCTTGCCCAGCCAACTGCCTCTCTGACAGCAAGTCTTTGAGCCAGGCTGAGTATTCCTGAGTCAGGCTTCAGTGCTAACATCAGCCAAGGCACCATCTACCTGGAAGCAGTTCACAGAATATAAAGCTTTCGCTAGCACTGTCTACTAAAGCATGTTGTTTGCTGAAAGCAGGCTTTAGTAGGAGAGTCCTTCTTGATGCTTATGTTGACAGTGTTGTTGATATGGTCTTTGCTGAATATCAACACCCCTGCTAATGGTATAGACCAAGGGACAGCAAGCTACAGCCTGAAAACAAAATTGACCCACCAGTGGTTGACACATTTTAATGATTAAGATTTTTTTGAATACGGTGTCGTATATAAATTATGTGAAATTCAGAACACAGGCCCCATTCATGCATTGGCTGTGGCTGTTGGGCTACATCAATCTTGCATAGTCGCAAGCAAAACTGCATGAGTGTCTTAGTTGCTTTTCTTGTTACTGAGACAAAATATCGACACCCAAAGTTATTGGAGAAAGAATCATTGTCACTCATTCTTTGTAGATATTTCAGTTCTTAGTTGGCTGGTTCTAAGGCAGGGTGGCACAGAAGCAGAGGAGCAGCACAGAGGCAAAACAGTTCACTGCAGGGAAAAGAAGCAAAGCAGTGAAATAGTGAAGTGGCTGAAGCACTCTCCTCTTTTTTTTATCCCTTTCAAGCTAGATGCTCTTTGGTCCATGCCACCCACATAGAGGTAAGCCTTCCCATTGTCCACACTCAGAACTATGCCAAACTGATCAGGGTAGTAATTTAATATTCACACAGCATTAATACCAGCATCACACACTTAAATTCCAGCATCACACACCCTAGATTAAGACACCTCAGGAAAGCCCCGTCTATAACCACAGGAGCCTTTGAGGTGACATCTAGACACAAGCTGTAACAATGCACTACAGGCTAGGCATAGTGGTACATGCCTGTAATCCCAGAACTTGGGAGAATTGCCACAAGTTTTAGGCCTGCTTGAACTGCATAGTGAGATCTTGTCTTAAAAAACTTAAAAAAAAAAAAGATACAAAACCAACCATTATCACTTTCTGGCCATTTCCAGAAAGAGCTTTTGACCCTTAGTAGAAATAATGGAAACATTGCCCATATCAGTAAAAACGTGAACACCATTAACTATCCCTTTATTGATGTTTACAGAAACGGACCACTTATCAACCAATAGTAGTTAACAACTGTGTTTTGTGCTGTTCCACTCCTTTAAATTACCTTTGTCTTCCTTATTCCCCAAGCATGTGTCTACTCAAACACAGCTTCCTCTCAAATGTCATATTTATAGAGCCTTCTTTGGCCTCAGAGACCATGAGCTCTTTCCTCTCTGCTGCAGTGTCACGCATACTAGCTCATCAGCACACTATGGTTATAATTCTCTTTCTGCGTCTGACTCCCCCAGGATACTATGAGTTTTAGAAGCAAGTACTCTATCTTTGTGGAATGAATAAATGAACGAACACATTATTTCAAGAATAATAAAGCACTATTCAAGTCAACAGACTTCCCATCAGTGGAAGGATTTCACAATCCTAGTGCCACTCAAACTAAGCTTGCTTTCCTTCTTTCTTAGTTTCCTTCCTTCCTTTCTTCCTTCCTTCCTTCCTTCCTTCCTTCCTTCCTTCCTTCCTTCCTTCCTTCCATCCTTCCTTCCTTTCTCTATCTCTCTGTCTCTCTGTCTCTCTGTCTCTCTCTCTCTCTCTTCCTTTGGCTATCTTAGCCACAAAGCTATTGCAAACTGCTAAAGAAAAGAGACTAGATCTTGCCTTAGGTTTGCTTCTGGGAAAAATAACAATTACAGAACATAAAATAGGTCTGTTTCTATGTTTATTTCCTTGGCAAGGAAGAGTCATATAAATCAGCACATGACCAATAACATGTTTCCTGTCCTTGGTCATAAACAATGACCTGCTTTTTAATGACAAACATGTGACAGAGTTGAGCAGCAGGAATAAACCATGAATAATAACGTTTGCTTATAAGGCGACTGAATGACTAGTCAGTGGTAACAAACATCTGGTGCCAGGGCGTCCCCCTTTGGCCATAGCATGCACAATCTGAATTCAGAGCTCCTAGAGTGAAGGTTACATTGACCAAAGACCGTTGTACTGTGCTGACAAATATGTTTTTCTACTTGTTTCAATTTTGTTTAGACACTTCTTTATCTACTCAGTATTCCTATGCATAAAGTTTTCAAGTACAAGGTAAAATTGTATAGATAAGGAAATCAAAGTCAGAGAAATGTGAGATAGCTAAGTAAGGAAAATCCGAAAGGGTTGGCTCACTTAACAAGAAAGGAAAAGAAATGACCACAGCACAAGACTGTCACTTCCAGTGCTTGAAATTTGGTGGTAACTGAGTAAGGGCTGGGCAGCCAGATCTCTAGAAACATGTTTGTTTCCAGGGACTTTGTACTTTACTATTGAACTGGAAGGGTGACAGCTGTTCTAGCCTTGTGGCTGTGAAGAGATCAATGTCAAGTTAGTGGAGGCTTGATATTGTACTTCTTGCACATTTTAGCTGAATACATTTTCAGGTCAACTCTACTAAAATATGTATTGTCCAAGGCTTACGTGTGATTAGAATTTGAACAGGGCTGGCATTTTTATGAACCCCGCTGAGAAACCCAAGCTATGTAGTGACTGAGCATCCTCCGACCCTCACAGTGTTGAATAACTTGTTTTGTGCAATTCACTACACATAAGTTACTTTCTGATGCTCTCTGAAGACGGCAGGGAGGGCAGCCAGCATCTTTGTAGCCTTCGTGCTCAGTGTATCTGAGCCCTTAAACAGAGCTAGTGAGGGGTTGTGTGCTGCTGCTGGGAATGTGTCATAAATCAGTACATGAGGACAACTGGTATGTTTGAATGATGACATTTTTGTTTACATAAATCTTGTATATCTTTACATATTTACCTATATACTTTATTCGTACATCTATTAACTGAGCTGTAAATTCTGCTGTGTTCAAGACCATTAAATTTTGCACGCAACAATTAATTTCTCTTGGATACCTGAACATAAGCCTTACCACTACAGTCACAGCCAAGCACACAGACATGCCAAATTCTCCCAAGCTATGCTATAGTTTTCCTTCGTCTCAGAGTACTGTGGGCCTTTAGCAAGTCTGAGGGATGAGGGTGAACCACATATGTGTAATCGTGAGCTTAGAATTTTTCTGACAATGGACAAGAGAAAAATAAATCATTCTTCCAAATCAGTGGACATTAAAACGTGCTGATCTTGAGGGAGCCGTGCTCTAATTGATATTAACTTAGTTTGGAGGCATTAACAATACATCTGATGTGTAGGTTAATATGAATGAGATTAACATCCAAAATAGACCTATGTCCTAAAGACTCTCAGAGTCGCGTATATACACGACTGAGCCGGCAGTCATCATAATTCAATAGTAGCAATCATATCTTTGCAGCATCCTTCACAAACACCACCACACTTAATCTGCACAATGGCCTTTGTTATCCAAATCCTTGCTCCACCTTTGTTTTTGGAAAGCTGAAGCTTGGTGACTCTTGTTTTGAATCAGGTCTCCTAGTTTTAAAACCCAAGACAGAGAATCTCCGTAAGTGACAGTTTTCAAGTGCATTCTTGGATAGACTCGTAAGGCGTTGGGAGAGGCACAAGCAGAGGGAAGGGGCCCCGTAAGGCTGTGAGCGAGTGACCTGGAATCTCACCAGGCAGAACCCCCGAGACTGCTGGAGCACATACAGCATGCGCATGTGCAGTACAGACACAGGGGCGGACTTCGTGCCATGGGGTAGGTCAGTCGTTTTCTGAGGATTGCTTTCAGTGGGGAAGTCAAACACTTGGCATTTCCCAGCAAGGCAGCTCCTTGTAGTGGAGAACAACACTCTGGAAAAGGGCACAGCTGTGCCGTTAGCAGCACCGGAAAAGGGGTGCAGCGGGCTGGGGAAGGGATCTAAGCTGGGTGCACCCTGCAGAGTGTTTAGTTCATTCCCAAAACTTCTGAGTGGCAGAGCCAGGATGTAAGCCCTCACCTGTTTCAAACTGCTGTCCTTAACTGCACAAGCACAGATAAGCAAATCTGTCCTGCTTTTTAAAGCTTTATCCAATTAGTGTTATTTTTCAGGATCAATTTTATGCCAGATAGGGCTCAGATGCAGAAAGAGAGATGTACTGACCAAGATGCAGTGCGCTCCTTCTTTCTTGTCCCAGTCACTCGCGAGTATGAGTAGAGAACTAAGCCACACTGACAGAGACTCAGAGACTAATGCTCGTTCTTGGCTTTTGTCCCCAAAGGCAGATGAGACGCAGGATGTGATGCATTTTAATTACACGGCGTGGCCCGACCATGGAGTGCCCACAGCCAATGCTGCGGAAAGCGTCCTGCAGTTCGTGCACATGGTCCGACAGCACGCAACCAAGAGCAAAGGTCCGATGGTCATTCACTGCAGGTAACCTCGTCCGGGCATTTTCTGTCACACATCAAGGGGTTTTCAGTTGAGTTTTAGCAGAAGAACTAGCCCATCACTCGCTAAAACTCTACAGTTTAATCATAAATAAATTAGGGTTTTTAAAGTCTGTGATTAATTGGTATCTTTATTATATACATGATTTATTTATAATATGAATATTATAACTATAGCTTATAGGATAGATTTATTTGAATTTTATGAGGATAGAAAAGGTCAGGAGTAGCAAGAGTAAAGGCATTCGCACAGATTCACATGATTAGAACATGGAGAAATTAAGACACAAAACCAGGGGCTGGGGAGATGGCTCAGTGGAGTAAGCACTTCCCTGGCAAGTGCAAAGGCCTGAGTTCAATCCCCAGTTCTGCAAAAAAAAAAAAAAGACACAAAACCAGGCACACTGGTCTCCAAAGACCGTGTCTCCTCTACAGTGGATTATTATCCTTGTGCATCAAGGATTCTGAACGGCTATAATCTGGATAAACACAACATAAAATTATAAATAATTTATCAGAGATTAACATTATATGAGTAGAAATAAAAGCAAGAGGAAAAAATACTCAGCATATTAAGAGAAGCATGTTTGTTAGAGTTGCTCTTCAGCATTGCTTCTAAATTTCAAGACAGCTAGAATGACAGGGGATAAATGATCCATTAACAATATCCACACTAATTCCATAGGGAAAGATTGTCTTTGGAGCTACTCCTTCCTTCTCACTAAGTAGACAAAGCTCCCTCACAAGCTATCCCTACAACGACAGTGTTGTTATAGAATTTCTTATGCAACTGAAAAGATCAGGAGATATAAATATTGTCTGGCTGCCTATGAGAGAGTACAGATGGGATGGTGATGTTAAGGGAAGCGGTGACAAGCAAGCCAGCCTAAGCAGCTAAATCCATAAAATCTATAATCCAAGAGTTTCCATGTTGGTCTTTGTAAATGAGAATGGCTAGATTGTAAGTGTGTGTGTGTGTGTGTGTGTGTGTGTGTGTGTGTTGGGGAAGGGGGTGACTACACAAACTAGTTTCCACTTAGAGAGGATATCGTTGCTGTCAACGCACCTCACGCTTTCACAGTTTAAAAGCTACCCTTTAGTCACTGAGACCATGTCTTCTCAACATGATTCTTTACAAGAGTAGAAAATAAAGCTGCTTGACCCTGGGTCATACTTTTACATTCCTAACACAGCACTTAGCCATACAGCCCTGGATCAAACTGCGCAGGTACCCACTCGGTGGCAGAACATTTTATCAGAGAGGTTCTGGGAGAGAAGAGTTGTCTAGCAGAAAAAGCAAAACAGACTTTCAACTCAAGGGCCTGAATATTGGATTACTCTCCCACCAAATTCCATATACAAGGTCTGATCAAAATATATGGTGGGGGCTGGGGAGATGGCTCAGTAGAATAAGCACTTGCCTGGCAAGCGCAGGGCCCTGAGTTCAATCCCCGGTTCTGCAAAAAATATAGATATAGATATAGATATAGATATAGATATAGATATAGAGATATAGATATAGATATATGGTGGAAGTTAGTTTGGTTCTCTTTAATTTAATACTCCCTCTCACTCTGAAAATACTTCATAATTCTTGTTACTTTCTAAAGCATTTCTGGAAGTCCTCTTTCATGACTGTCTTTGCAAGTTCTGATAAAAAGATACAGTGAATGCTGCTACTGAATGCTACCCAACAGAATCAAGCTCATAAAAACTTACACTGTTTCTTCAACCAGGTTGTTCATCAGATCTGGAATTATGTGAATTTTAGCTCTTCCACCAAGTCAAAATCAACATCAAAATTGAATGTTTTAAATTGATCCAGGGGCTGGGATGTAAGTGTCTGCCTGGCAAGCACTAAGTCCTGAGTTTGACCTCCCATACTCCCCAAAGAATATTATAAATAAATAAATATATAGATCCAGAACTTTGAGTAATCACAATAGCAAAACTAAAGACACTCAATAAAGAGGAATTCTAGAGCTGCTTCAGAAAGTGGAAAGAATTATGGAATACATGTGTTTATTGCCATATATATTTTTTTAATTTAAATATTCACTGTATATTTCAATCATGTCTCCTATAAATTGGCTTCAACTTTTTCCTTTCTCAACATTTCATTATAATTCAGAGTCTGGAATCCTTGGGCTCTTCATTTCTATGGATGATTAGAAGTAAAGAAGAGCTAACTTTGACCTTGAGCTATAGGCATGGTGTGGGCAGTTGGCTGGCCTATATGAGTCCACCTCGACCTGTGTGGACTAGATTTGGGACTGGATGAGACTAGTCCCACATATTTAATTTGATTATAAAGCAACTAACTTCCTAGAAGTTGTCCTGGAGACTGTAGAGGCCCAAGATCCACTGGAAAGGGATTTGCTCTGTGAAGAAAAATAAAAGGTGTATGGTGGTGAAGTGAACTTAGGGTGAAGATATGAAGTTAGCTATGGTCCCAGAGCATCGCAATTAGACTTTTGGGCTGGGTGTGGGGAATGAACTCAGGTGTTTATTCATAAAAAGGGACACTGTTGCATGCACCAGGTCCTTGAGGGCAGGGACCATCTGTCCAGAGTGTTCAGTATAGAATCATCTCTTTTCTTCATAAATGGTGAGCGGGAAGTACAGGCCTCTCGCTCCTCAAGGGGAGCAGCGATTGTCAGAAATGAGACATCAGCAGGAGTTCAGACACAGCTGCATTCCAAACCTCAGTTTGGTGGAAAACGAGAAGTTTGGTCCCCTCCACAATGGTGCTACCCATGGTGTTTGTTTTGTCTAAGGAAATCCCTAATCTACTTTCACCCATCTAATATGCCATCTGAACCTTTTCCTGCAGCGCTGGTGTGGGGCGTACAGGGACCTTCATAGCCCTAGACAGGCTCTTACAGCACATACGGGATCACGAGTTTGTGGACATCTTAGGACTGGTGTCAGAAATGAGGTCATACCGGATGTCTATGGTACAGACAGAGGTAAGAATGTAATAAGGAAATACTGTCCGATTTGCCCTTGGCTGAAAAACTTGACATTGTTCAACCTCATGTATCAAAACAGCTATCACAATTTGTTTATTATCTACATTTCCCATCTTCTCGTGGTGTGTGTTGAAACTGCTATAGAGTGAAAAAGAAATAGAGGCTAGCCTCTAGAGAATGGATGGAAATGACATTTTCCCTGGCATTGCCATCCCTTTAGGAATTCAGAGCACATGGATGTGTTTGCAATTAGACAACAATAGGTTAGTTGAAGGCAACAGCCTATATGAGCCAATGCCACAAGTGAACATTGTGGTCTGAAGTGAATTAAGTTATATAGGAAATGCTGCCCTGCTCAGATCAATTTATCTTTGGTTCTTTTTTTTTTTTTTTAATCTTTGGTTCTTTCTCCATGTGACTGTCTGTGGTGATCCCATCAACTATGGATATGTTCCTTGTACCTGCTTCTAAGGCTTTCCATCCCCATTTCCTCCTAATCCACCAGCACTTCCAGATCCTTTCATGTAAAGTAAAAGATGTATTATTTTAACAACCTCAGGCATCTGGGGAAGCGTTCTGTGCCTCCTCTTTTCAGCCTACCTCCCTCGAAGTTTGGTGGCTTGCTTGGTCTGGAGGAGCAGCTGACTGTGGACAGCCCCTCCTATGTGGATGCAAAACCCCACTCCAGGCGCCTGCTCATAATCCCAGACACGCAGGGGGACTGGTGATTTACTGACTTAGTTCAGGCAGGCAATAACTCTCCTCCCGGAGGAGTGGGAGGGGGAGGAATGTTGGAGAACAGAACAGAACACACCTTGCTGGACCTCTTGCTACGGGATTAAATAAACGTATCCTGGTCTTCCTCTTGCGTTTCCCGTACTGTACCACTAGACGTCAGCGTAGCTTAAAAAGCCTGGCGTCATGGCTGCGTTCGCTCTTCCTGTTGCAGGGCTCCCCCTTCTCCCCCTTTTTCCTCTTCTTTCCTCCTGATTTTTT